GTTTTAGTGCATTTTTATGACAACTCTGATTCTTTTGCGGGTCATTTTGACCCATACTGTGTAAATCCACTCAATGTCATTTTTTTTTCAACATAATACACGGGTTAATTTCCTAAACTTGCATATGGTCTTCAATTTGTAGCAAATACACTATCACATAGCAGCTGGAGCAGTCTCAAATGAGGTCAGTCCACTACTGCCACAGTTGGCTAAGTGCCACAGCCTACTACTAGATTAACTACTTCCTTTGGGGATAGTCCTCTGACTGAATTTTCTTTGTGACTGTACGACCTGGTATTACTGAACAGATTTTTCACATGTTGATAGCTGTGGATTAGCTATTGGATTTTTTATAATCTTGTTTTTTTTTTTTTGAGGATTATTGGGTTTTTGTCCTCTGTGTTATGGTGACTGTGGTGTACCTGTTTTTTTTTTAATGGTGTTTTTTTGTTTGTGGTGTTTGTTTATTTGAGTGTGCAAGTGGAATTCAGCAGGGGGGAATGTAATAGTGTTTATGTGGTATTATTCCACTTGCCACAAATGTCAGTGTAATGGGGGAAAAGCGCCCCCCCTCTCGGTGTGGCTGGTTTGGTGAGGCTGGCTGCAGTAATCACTGCCAGTCTGCCGTAGCCATACGAGAGGCGAGTTGTATTGTTCCGCACACGATATAGCTAAGTAGTAGGCCTACAGACACACAAAACATGTTTGATTGGCTGATGGGCACCGAGTGTAATAAGTGCTTAGTGGACACATGTCCAACAGCAGTTTTATGTAGGCTACTCTTCATTTGTTTATTAATGTGTGAAACTGTATGCTAAAGCGGTATGCTAATGGGATGTTCTGCCGTAGTGTGCTGTGCGGAGTGGTGTGTGGCGAGCCTGTGCACTGATAATACACCGTTGTTTCCATTCAGGAAATAAAGTGGCAATGATCGATCAGAGACTCCTTGTCTTTTTAAAAACACTACACAACGCAGAGTTGAGGAGTCTGTTTGGGGCGAACTGTTGCAGCGGCATGAAGCAGAAACCGTTTACACTAGCCTGTTTGGCGCCCTGGGCGAACACTCCCTGGAACCATACTGAATTTCACCAGAGAAACACGCACATACATGAAGAGAGAGAGAGAGTATGCATAGTATGCAAACGACTACCAAACAGCCATCATCATTCGCCATACAATGAGAACAGGACAAATAAAGAATTGACAATGACTAATTAATATTGTGCTGAACCCACGCTCTTTTCTACTCTGGAATATTCTCACTAATTTTCTTGATATTTATTTATAATCACCTCTGTTAATCCTTGATATTTATAATTGAGTGATCTGTATATATTAGTGCTATTTCGTAAATGTGTAAAATCTGTAACATAACGTATTGTTTGAAGTTTTGAAGTTTGGTCTGTTACTGTTACTATTTTTACCATTTCTTCTTGGAGCAACTGTAACCCACATGATTTCCTTAGGGATTAATAGTATTCTGATTCTGATTGTTTCAGGATACATGACCTGCCATTATCCAATGACACATCTGCTTACCTGTATCTTTTGCTCGTTTCTCCTCTTCTTTTCTCTTTTTTCTAAACTGAGGACCTGATGGCTTTGAACCCAGGATTCAAATCATGAATACATAATGGGTTTGGATTTACAACATTCTAAATGAAATGTGCTCTATTTGGAAGCAGCAGGTCTCCCTCCCCTTTCCACTGGTTGCGTGTAAGACATTAAATCATCAAAATATAAATTTTAAATTGTTATTGATCCCTTTACCTCGAGTCCTAAGTGTATAATTATTTTTGTTGTAGTTGTAAAGAAAGACTTGGGGATGAAGACTGGTAAAGATTGAAATAAGTATAAGAATTTAGGAAGGATATTCATTTTAATTGAATTAAGTCGTCCGACCAGAGTTGTGTTCAGGGGTGACCACTGTTGAAGGCTTTGTCTGACATTCTTCAATAGTGTAAAAAGTTGGCTTTGAGAAGTTGCTTATACTTTCTTGTAATTGTAATACCCAGGTAGGTGAACTGCTCTTTAACCACTTTAAAGGGGAAACCCGACAAATCTATTGGGAATGCTTCTTCATTTAATAGACAAAGTTAGCTCTTGGACAGATTTAATTTATAACCAGAGACTTGACTGAAACGCGCGAGTAGAGACAATGGTAGGGAAGTATTTGGGTTTGAAATAAAAAGCAATAAATCGTCAGCATAGAGAGAGACATGTGCTGTGTCCGAATTCAGGGGAAGGATGCTCATAAGGACACTACCTACCTACGTCACAAGGTAGTGTCCTTAGACAGACAGGTAATCAGGAAGTGAGCGGCTGTGGACAGCCCCCTTTTTTTCCTCCATAGAAACTTTATTGAACAAACAATGAGTATCCAACGTAACAGATGGGCTGTGGACAGCCTCCTAGCCTTCAACTCCGCCCTTACTTGCGTTTTTTTCCGGTCGCTAGCACCACAGCGCGAAAACTTTAAAATGGACCCAGAAATTTTGCTCCATTGTTTGGACAATTTTAATTCTTTTTTGTACCTTAGGCTCATCAGAGACAATCATGTCCAGGTAAAATAATTTCCTTTAATCTACACGCATTTAGGAATTACTTAGCTAACTACACGAATAATTGAATTATTGCCAGCGTTGTGCCAGTGTAACCGGTGTGATTCTGCGTTGTGTCTGATAAAAAAGGTAAAAGAAAGAAAGACCTCCAAGTAAATAATTTGCCCACTCCAGCTCCTCTCCCACAGGGGAATTGTAGAAAAAGGGGCTGGCATTTATTTTTACATTAAACATAAAATATTTATTTACACGTAACATATTTGACATAAGATAAAACAAAAACAACAACATGAAATCTGACATACCTGCTAAAAAAGGTAAAAGAAAGAAAGACCTCCAAGTAAATAATTTGCCCACTCCAGCTCCTAGACCAAATACAAACAGTGGGGAAGAGGGTTAGCTCAACCCACCACAGCTCCCAAGCTAGCAAGGAGTATATATTCATGCTAGCATTTATGGCGCCTAAAACACATTTATGATACACACATACTACACACTTATCACATCTTACAAAAACAGGCTTAATAATGACAATAACTGAACTAACATCGCAATCATAAACATCAGGGTGGCTAAATATGAATTATGTGTGTTTTTAAGGTGTTGGAAAGAAATGACACCCACCTCTCCCACAGGGGAATTGTAGAAAAAGGGGAGAGGCAAAAGGGGTACACTGTATTTATAGTATTGCACCAAAGAAGAAGAAGAAAAGAATGAGGAGGGGCTATAACTGATAATGAACACAACTACAGGCTTGGAGGTCCTAAAAGTCAGGTATAAAAGGAGCAGTTTGGGGGTTTAGAACACATTTTGTGTAATTATAACAATGTGATTTATGACCCTGTTACACCAAAAAAGTGTTCGCCTGCCAAGACTGATTTCCAATGTTTCTGTGTGTAATATCTTTATGTATGTTAGTAAATAGACTTCGGTGAACATGGTTTACAAAGGGGTTTTATATATACAATAATTACCTGTTGTTCAAGTATAACTCTGGTTATAATGTAGGTACAATTGATATATTTGTTGCGCTGTCTGCTGTCCTCTTGGCCAGATTACTCTTAAAAAATTAATTTCTAATGTTAACAAGATATTTTTTTAACTGGATAAATAAAGCAGATATAAAAGTCACTGCCAAAAACTGATTGCAGCTTCTACCTTGTTACAGGAATGTTGCTGGTGGCTCAAAGTGACTTGATATCATTAATGAGGGAAACATTTGACATATGTTTCACGTATTATAGACCAGCAAGTTATTCATAGCAGGCAGGTTAAATACGAGCAATCAGTTTAGGGCAAAAACCGGAAATCAGTTTTGGCAGACGATCATTTTTTGACACAACATCGGTCATTCTTACACATGTACTGTATCATATAAAATATATAAACTAAATATCTTTGAAACGCATAGAATCTAATCTTTTGGGTTTTTTTGTACATAGCACTTTATTAAACTGTTGTCTGCTACAGAGTTACAAGTATTATACTAATAATAAAGCATCCACCATCTCCTGTTTGCATATTTCTGAAAACATCTTAGTGGTGTGGCAGCCATTGATTGAGCCAGCCCTGCAAACCCTGTGGATGGATGATGCAGTGGACAGTGAGAGGAAGCATTCTAAAGCTCTTTGCAGACCACCCTGTGTGATTCTCCACTCGCAGACCAGAAAAGACAAACCTCAGTTGCAGCACCCCATCCACGTCTGATCTTGCTCGGGCAGATTCAACAACACTGCCAGAGACTTCCTGTAATCTATTACAGTTCAAGAAACGGTCCAGGAACAGGTCACTCAGGTTAATCCTGTGTGAACAACTGAAAATATTGTTTTTTCACCTTTACATACTGTGTATTTGAAATATTCTTGTTTAATTGTTATTGTTATTTACTTTATTGCTATCAAATAAATATCCAAGTAATATTGCTCAAAGTTAGCGTTATGTTCATACATGTTAAAAATGTATGGAAGAAATATAGTATCATCAGAATTCAAGTATTTTTAGACATTGAATTTATGACACTGAATTTTTATCCTCCAAATTTCCCTGCAAAAATATTCACCTGCAAAAATTCACCTGCAAAAAATTCACCAGAAAAAATTCACCTGAAAAAAATTCACCTGCAAAAATTCACCTGCAAAAATTCACCTGCAAAAATTCAACTGCAAAAGTGATGAACTTTAATGACCCAAGCCAGAGCACTCAGCACCAGATCGAGTCGAGTGGCTCTCGGCCAATTAAATTACGCTGTTTGATCACATGACACCGTTAGCCAGCAGTTTGTCTCCTAAAAGAGAGCTGTTTAGAGGTGAGTGATTAAGTTTTTCTCCTAAATAGAGATCATTACAGAACGCCTAGTCCTACTTAAAATCCCATTTATTTTTTTTTATCATCTACTCGAACTAAGGAAAACGTTTGACTAACTCAAAGACAATTTCCACGCCTCCCATGCCTGTCTGCAGAAGCAGTTTTGAATTTAGGAGCGCCAAGATGGCAGCGGCAAACCCTGGCGGCTCTCCGGTGAGTATATATATATTTTTATCTTCAAGTTTGTCTTTTGAAACCTTAATTTTATTTAAATCCGTTGCTCACGTATAAAGTACACAGACGGGGTCTTTGCTCAACTCGTCTGAGGCGTGTCTCACTAAGCGCTACATGCTAGCATCCTGCTAACCGAGCTACCCTTTACATGCTGTGCTTTAGAAAATAGGATACTCGTTAAAAAAATACTCCGCAGATATTGATAGATAGACGAACACTGCAAATATAATGTTGGAAACGAGAACGGCCTTTGGTGAAGGGGTAAAATACACCATGAATAAAGCCATAGAGTGAATGGCTGCCATGGTTGCAGAACAGCCTGATTTAATGACAAGAATGGGGAAGAGTGAGGTGAAGTGAACCAAAGCCACAAAACACGGTCAGACAAGGCGGCAAAAGGGCAGTGATCTGTCCGTCAGTATGAAGTTGGTGTGTGCTTTGGTGAACAAAAACTCCAGACCGGTAGCAGGAAGATGGGAGACTCGTGTTTCACTGGAATAGTGGTGAATTAAAACATCCTTTGTTGGGGACATTTCGGTGTAAATGCATCCATACAGGCAAGACAGAGGCAGACCAGACAGTGAAGAAAACAAGGCAAACATTAGAAATATTAAAACGGAAATATAGGATTAATATAACATACAATTTGGGAAAATGTAAGGAACGCAATGTAAATGATATTGTAAAGTCATTAAAACAGCATACTCTGATTAAAAGAAACATGTAATTGGGTAGAATAATAATAATTATAATAATAATAAACACGTACAAGATGGGTATGTATACTTGTACCCAGAATTTAACAACTATAAAGTTGTAGCATGCCAGACCATCTTGATTGAATGTAACTTCGCTCCACACAAGTTTTTTGTTAGACATATTCATATTGTTATCTAATAAATGATACATTCTTAGATTTTATCGAACGTTAATTTATAAATTGTTTCTGTCTTTATGTGTTTGTTTCAGATTATGCAGGATGAAATTATTCGGTCAGCAAGACACTTGCTGCAGTTGCTTACATCATCCAACCAAACTCCTGCTGTTGCTGCTGCGATGAATCAGAATACAAGGTACTTTACCAAGACTTATGAGTCAATCCTACATTCAACTAAATTGAGATATATATATATATATATATATATATATATATATACACACATACATACATACATACATACACACACACACACACACACTAGGGGTGCAACGATATTCGTATCGATATTGAACCGTTCGATACAGTGCTTTCGGTTCGGTACGCATATGTATCGAACAATACAAAATTTTTGATTTATTTTATCAACTTTCCTTCTGACGATGCTGTCTGTGTTGAGCGCTCAGTGAATCTGCGTTCGACTACTCCGCCTAGGCTCGACAGTGCAGCCTAGGCGGAGTAGTCGAACGCAGATTCACTGAGCGCTCAACACAGACAGCATCGTCAGAAGGAAGAGCGCAGGGCATTCAGATCTGGCGTTTGGAATTATTTTGGTTTTCATGTGACGTATGACCCTGAAGGTAAGCGAGTCATGGACTAAAGTAAAACAGTATGTTTGCCATGCAATGCTCAATTACATGGGTGGGAGCTAGTGTGTTAGCGCAGTTAGCTCGTTAACATGTTGGCCATCTAGCCCCATGCACGGGGCGATCGGCGGTAGCTCGTTAACGGAGATTTGCCGTGTTGTGGCGTTAAGGTCATTTCAACGAGATTAACCTGAAAGCACTAGTGGGAACACAACGAATATGACTCCACATTTACGCCGACATCATCCTAGTGCAAAGACAAGTGGAAGCAGAAAAAAACAAGCAAGCATGCTACTAACTTTAGCCGAGTCATTTAGACAGCTGTTGGCACATGATTCTCCTTATGTGTTTAATATGCTGCTGAGAATATAGCCCAGAAGAAGCGGATAGTATAGCTTTTATTTTGGAAAGAGCCATTTCTCTGTAATAAACTCTCTTTTCCAAAGATGAGTGATTCCTCAATCAGATACAGGGCTCGCAATATCGCTAGCCCGACGTCCCGGGGCTAGCGATATTTTCAGTCGGGCTACCAAAATCTATCTCTTCCCTGCCCGTCGGGCTATTGTAGGAAAAATATATGTCAATGCTTTTGCATTCTTTCAGAAATGTAGCTGGGTAATTATGTCATTGGCATCGGTGAGCCACTGTCAATATGTGACATATTGAAATCGCGTTTGAATTTGCGCTTGTTTTTTTGCTTTCACTTTGCAATCGTGCGAACTGTGTATAGAGAGCGACAGCACTGATCTGTGAGTGATGATAATTTGTGCACCAATTCCTCTGACATCGTCTTATTAATCGTTAGCTTACTATGCAAACATGACAAGTGAAATCTCCCGCAGCAAGCTTAAACATGTGAGAGGTTGATCGCGCAGAGAATCGCTGAGCTTATGTGAGTGCGCGTGTAAAAGCAGCAGTATATGTATTTTAGCTCTGCTGAGCCAAATAAGACAGGTCAGGGTGAAGAAGTGACAGCCAAAGAAAAGCTTACCACAAAACGGAGAAGTTATGACAAATCAGACTATAAGGCAAAAAGAAAGTGCAGCTTTATGGTTTCATGGACAAAAGAATTTCTGTGGCTGCAATATGACGAGCTAAATAACCAGGGCTGCACATAAGTGGTCCGCAGGTGCGCATTCGCTGTCAAAATAAAAAACACGCACAAGGGTTAGGGTTAAATTTAAAAACTGTACTTTTGAGTTAAAATATATATTTATAATTTTAATAAATGACAAATTAAAAATGCATGAACATTTTTTTGTATTGAAAAAAAATCGAACCGTGACATCAAAGTATCGAACCGAACCGAACCGTGAATTTTGTGTATCGTTGCACCCCTAATATATACACACACATATACATATGTGTGTGTGTGTGTGTGTGTGTGTGTGTGTGTGTGTGTGTGTGTGTGTGTGTGTGTGCGCGCACACACACACATACACACACACACACACGAGAATATGATTTTATTTCTTGCAGAGAACAGAGTCAAGGTGGCCAGGGTACCAGCTTGGTCAACCCTGAAAGACCATCCCTTCAGCAAGAAATGACCAGGTGAAAAAGTCATAAACTAAACACTCAGCATGAGCATGGAATTTAGGATGGAACTTTATATCTTACCTGCTCTACACTCAGGGCTTGAATTACAACAACAGTCAATCACATAAAAATATACTTTTGGTAGTTCTGAGTCTGTCACGGATCTGGCTTGTTTCGACCCAGTATTTTGAGTTCTGATGTTTTGGTTTATTTTTGAATGTTTGTGTTTTTCAGGTGCTGCTATTATTATTATTATTATTATTATTATTATTTTTATTATATTTCCGTGTTTCTGTGTATACTGCAGTGTTAGTGCTGTGTTGAATTTGTATAAACAAACTAAAAAAGCATTTCATAATAGTCGCTTTTAAATAATTTTGTTAAAATGTTTGGGACAGGTCTTTTCCTGGTATTTTCTCAAGAGGAAAGGGGAAAAGGCGATTCCCTGCTACATCTCTGGTGCCTGCTAAGAAGCCTAAACCTCTTGAAGTGGTATTTTATTTGCTCCCAAAACAAATGGAGAAGACCCCAACAGAACATGAAAAATATATCCACACACAGGCAGGGATGGGTCAAAGAACAGCACATCTTGATGAGAGCACAACACATGAAGAGGTATAAACTTATTCTTTTTATTCACTGATCAAAACTGAGAAGTTTTCGCTTAATAAAAGTGTTATTGAAGGTGACCATCACTGCAAGTCACAGGTGGCATTTACAAAAAATAATATTATTATTGGATATTCATCATTAATCATGAAAATGTAACTGTAAATTTTGGATTGAAAAAGATTTTTTTATTATATCCAGTTTGCACTGTAAATGCATGGTTCTTTTACCGTTTCTTAGTATATACAGGGGTATAATTAATGTTAAATGTGTAATTTCTTTGGACTCAGAGATTGTATTTGTATTATTGCTTTCAGTTAAGGGACGCCCTGAATGATTTGTTTCCCAAACTGAAGGAGGTAACAGGTGGCTGGCTGCTGTTCAAACCTGGGGGTGTGTATGAATTCTGCACTGTGTAATTAAACTAGAAACTGATCCTGCTGTTTAATAAGTACTTTTAAGACAAGTTCCTTTTCACCGCATGTTGTGAATTCCTAATTCTGAGTAGTTTTGAAGATACTTTTCTTTTTCACTTTTCTTGAGGCATTGGATATATTTCATGATCAGAATAATCTGCTGCAATTTGCTTTTATACAGGTGGTTGGGGAACCCGAAAACTCTCTCTGGTTCCTCCAGCTGATATTGGCTATACAGGGACAATCCTAAAGGCTGCCAGTCGTGGGGGTAAAAATGTATATATTGCTCCTATTCAAGAGGAACTTAGCAATGACCCTGTACCACTAAGCGATGAGTCCTTCAGATGCATGCCAAAAGCAAAATGCCAGAAGTGTGGCATAGGTGTTCCACTGCAACTTCTGTCAGAACACCTAAAATCCTGTCCTCCTTTGGAAACTCCCAGTGAAAGTACTGTGGTGAATTTAGATGGTGATGAACCTACAGAAAAGGAATGTAGGTTTTTTTGACAATTTCATACTAACATATTACCCAAAAACATAAAGTGTTAAGAGCTAGCTAGAAGGAAAAATTAAATGTTAAAAAAATTAAACTTTGTCCTTTAAAATTTATTGCACAACAGCACCATTGCAGCAGTGTCCTGTCTGCACAGATATGTTTCACTCTGACCTCATTGAGCTGCATGCCTCTTCATGTGGAGAAAGGTATTTAGCAACAAAAATTGCAATTTTTATTGTCATTGGATTTAAGCCTTGAATGAAATTTAACAACATATTTTGATAGTAGCTCACGAAATGAAAAGGGGGATGAAGATACAATAATTGAGGAAGGGCTAGCAGATATGCCAGGACCATCTGGAACTACTTGTGAAGTCAGGGATGGTAGGTCAATCATTTAGTCACAGGTTATGTAAGGAAGGTGTTGATTAGTAACAATCAACAGCTAATGTGAACAATTCCTGGAAATCAAACCATTAGTTTGTATCCATTCAATGGATTTCTTATTTTTGATAGCCTCATATTCAAACTACTTTAGACAATCCTTCAAAGGATAAAACATAATCTTTTTGTAATAGTATCTAGATAGAACTTGATATACAGACTATATCCAATTATAATCACCTCTATTTTCTTTTAGGCTGGTTAACTGTTTTGGACTCTTCAAAGGCCATATATGAATGTGCAAAGAATGCTTTGGACATGCATGAAATGGAGAGCCCATTACGTCTCACAATGGACATCAGACAAAGTGTAGCTGATCAGGACATGGCCCTCATCTCATTCTACAAGAGACCCAATGTTGAATGGGCACGTCCCTTGGAGTGCAGGCTTGAGGGTAAATTTTCTGAAAATGATACATAAATATATCTTGAAATAATTATTTGTATTATTTGTATTTTATTTTGGTGATCTAACAGGGGATACAGCTATCGGACAAGGAGCAATACGTTTTTTCTTATCAACATGCATGGAGAAGCTGATGTCTGGTTTTTGCATCAATTTTGGTTAGTTTGTTTTGGTTGACCGTACCTATGTTTGATGATCATTATATTGTATAACTTTTCACAAGTTAATTGTCTCTTTATTTTGTGAAAACCTCTGTATTGTGTGTAAGTAATCTTCTTTTTTTTTTTTTTTTTCCTTTCTTTTCATTTATCTCATAGCAAACTCTAATGTTACTCCACTTTTTGAGCCAGGCCATTACATACCATCAGCAGCTCACTTTCTTGTGGAGAGTGATATGTTCCTTATGGCAGGGAGGATGGTAGGGCACTCCTTTCTTCATGGAGGCCCATGCCTATCTGGACTTAGCCCAGCCGTTGTGCATGTCCTACTTGGTGGTAGTCCTGAAACTGCCACCGTTACACCCGAGGACTGTCCAGATCTAGACCTGAGAGGGACAATTCAGCTTGTAGGTTTTTATGTTTAAATGAGGGAACGTTTATACATTGCCCCGTATGAGTTATAAACATGTCTAACCTAGACTAATCCTTTAAAATTGTTCTAGATCAAAAACTCTGCCATTGAGACATGGTCTGAGACTTTAAACTTGTCTTTTTTAAAAAATTTTATGTATGAGGAATTAGGAATTTATAGTTCTTGTTTCTGTCTGAATTACTGTCTTATGGGTTACAGCTTGAAGGGCAATCCAAGCTGTCGGATGAAGAGAGAAAACGTGTTCAGGATCTGGCATATGCATGGGACCTCCCCCCCTTGACAGAGAACAACAGGAGATGGCTGTTTGAGAAATTATTACTCCATTCTGTGAGTGAATTGAAAAGTAAGTAAAATATTTCTGTGTTACTGTTTAGTTAACGTTTTTCCTTAGGTCATTGGAAGAGTGACGAGGTCGATAAAACAGCTGAGAAGGGGACTTAAAGAAACCCATATGTGGACCCTGCTGACCCAGCGACCTGACACGGTGCCCTTACTCTTTCCACAAGAGTTGGCTGCTGTGAATCCTGAGGTAAATTTTGTGTTCCTAAATACTGTATTCATTAATAACATTTTACTGTGCGTTGTAGAAAATGTAGTCCAAAGCAAACTATGAAGACTTGAGTCATTCTACAAAGTGAAAAAATTGCAATTTTAATTTGGCATTTACCAAGAATTATGTATCAAATAATAAACTTACCATAACAAAGCTGTATTCATTTTTACAAATAAAATGCACAAATACTAAAAATGAACATATTCTTGTGGACCATACATCTTTACAGCAGTTTTTCTTTAGTCCTGTAAAAATAAAACTGCTCAAAAAGCATGATTTACATATAGAAAACGATTTTGTAGATTTGAAAAAGACATGACTAAAATACATTAGTAATTATTTGGTAATACACATTTTCTAATTATATATTTAGCCATTACTGTTGTTTGAATTTGAAAAAAAAAATTAATTTCTATTTTCATTTTTTGTTTGAGACAGTTTCTTCTTTTAAGATACAGTCAAAACTATGTAGAGGTTTGGGGATCCAAGTGAACACAAAAAGCACAAAACATGGATTATTATAGAAATTTATTCAAGAAATCAAGTCATGGATCATAAGGCTAAGTGGGTGATAGTGAGCTAAGAACAGGTGTGACTAATTAGATAAAATATGGCTATAGGGAAGGGAACTCCCCAAAACAAGAAGAGACAAAATCCATGGAAATCTGAAAAATGTGCAGCAGTATTTTAAGGGTATACTTTGTTCTGTTACAGGTCCTTCTTCAGTGGATCGTGTGGCCAGAAGATGAAGATGATGACTGTCCTCTTCAAAATAAATGCCGAATCACAGGCTACATGAGGCATATTATTCTAAATGGTAGGTTTGCAATTTTGCAGGAGGGGAATACTACGGAGCCCCGCAGGGGACATGGGAGAAAAAAAAATTAAGACGGACTTTTGCGAGATCTCGCAATACTTTTGCGAGATCCCAAGTTTGTTTTTGCGAGATCTCGCAAAAGTCCGTCTTAATTTTTTTTTTTTTTCTCCGTGTCCCCTGCGGGGCTCCGTAGAATACCAATATTATTGTAATGTTAAAAATATATTGGTTGGATTTTTTTCAAGGTTGTTAAACCTCTTTTTTCTTCACAGCAACACCAAGTGAGCTGACAAATGTCCTAAAATTCTGGACTGGATGGGAGATTGTGCCAAAAAGTCTCACAGTGGAGCTAGTGGATGGCAGACATCCAACTGCTGCCACCTGCTATGAGACCTCGCGCATTCCATACCACTACAAGGACTATTTAACTTTTAAGGAAGACCTCATTGCCTGCTCTGAAACCTGCCACTCAGGGTTTGGACTCATTTGAGTCATTCCCATAATGCAAGGTAGTGGTGTACAAGTCTCTGTTTAAGATTTGGAATATAAATGTTCACATCTACTGGGCCTCTCTGATGCCATTTACTCTGTGCAGGCAACATTGGTTCTTGGTTCAGTTCTCGGTTGAAAATGCCTTTAAGTAGTTTTTAAAACTGTTAATGTCTTGAAAGTTTACCTTGTCAATGACATCTTGCATGCATCTTGATCAAAATAAAAGGACAAGATTGACTTACATTGCTGTTTTAATTTTGAAACATTCCAACCATCAGCCTTCAGTCAAATATTGCTTTACAACATAACATTCAAACTGACAAGCAGTTTCTATTTAGTTTTCTGAGTGAATCAATATTTTTAAGTTCCCTCTCTCCTAATTCTTCAGTGTTTACATTACGAAGCTTTACTAAAAATTGTTACTTATAGTGAAGTTTATAGCTTGAAACAGTTGGTGAACCCTGTGTAATCTCAGATTTCAGCACAATTTGAAGATCAGATCCCATTTCTTGACATAAGTCACAATAATCAGAACTGCTTATACACAATTATGTTAATGAAAAAATCCTTGAAAATTCTTTGAGTTGGTTTAGTTTAAGCAGACTGATTGTCCAGATGTCCGTGATGAAGATCCGATTACATTTCATGACCAAATTGTGCGGAAATTAATGAAATTCAACAAGATACACAAACTTTTTCCTGCAACTGTATGTAGCTTTCCTATTCTAAATGAATTGCTAACAAAACTGAACAGCCATAATGTACATGTCCGCACCAAAGGACTGGGATGCCGCTCTTGGATTAACAACGCCCTGTAAAGTTGTCATTTGTTCTTCTGTCAATGGACAGTCAGTGTTCGGAACAACAATGCTTGAATGGTTATGGCAAGATAGGCCACTGTCCTCCCAGTCAATGTCTGGAATCTGGAAGCCCTGCAACGAACAAGCAAAATTAGGAAACAATAATTGTATATAGGAATCAGAGTACTAAAAATGTGCACCTTTACCTGTGTGTTTTCTGGAACAGGAACAGGGTGATATCTGTGACCCAACTCCCACAGCTGGTTGGGACTCATGTTGTTTTCTGTTCGCAGTGGATGGTTGTCCCATCCACTGCAAAATGTATTCAAATCATCCTCCAGTCGAGGAAGAAAGATGTAATGGCAGCAAAAGAGGTGTGCAACATTTGAAATGTCAAGAAGGCCCTCTTCCTCAAGGTTGTGAAGAACATCGTAGTAAATGCATGTAACGGCCACCCAGAGGTCTCTCCACAGTCGCTCTATTCTGAAATAATATATAAAAATATTTAATTAGGTATGGCTTTTCTTGGTGTGTATGACAAATTCCCTGCTTGTTTCTAACCCTACATGAAATGTGTGCATGACAACAGTAATAATACATTATCAGGGCATGTAGGAAGGACCCAGGCATATCACTTAAAAGGTGCCAAAAGGGTTGTAATGATCAGTGGCAACATGAGATGACAACCAGAATGAACATTCATGGAAGGAAGGAACAGACTGGAAAAGGTGCGTGAATAACTAAAAAATAGGGCACATTCCTGAAGGCTCTTTGGGGTTTGTAGGACCTGTCCAATATTTTCTTCCTTGAGGGGTAAGTAATGGAAATTGAAAGAAAAAACAACAAAAACTGCCAAAAAAAAAAAAAAGGAACACCTGATACATATCAGAAAGTATATCATGCTGGATAGGGCACTGTTCTCTAAAGACATTTTACTGTAAAACTTTCATAAAACTATACCCTTTAAATGTATGTATTTTTAAATAATGGAAATAAAGATGCAACACCTTCCATCTTATGTCAGAAACATTTGAGGTGGACAGTATTTTATGAGAACAAACCTTTGATTGTGCACACTCTTTCCTGAAATGAAACTGCCTCTTCCTGTGCCACGAACAGTAAACATCAGCCGTGCAACCTCCACATTTTCCCCTCCGTGGTCGCCACGAACCCTGAAAACAAAGAATCGTACCCCAAAACATTCGAAGCTTTAAACAAACTTAGATCTGATAATAAAGAACAGTATATGCCTTAAGCAAAGTTTGAAAAACAAATTGTAAAAGAATCCTTAAAATCTTTCATTGCTACTGCTCTTGAATGCATCAGAAAAATTGTCTCATGAATGCACTTTCCAGCATGTGTCAGTATGAAGTTTAATTTAACACAGCTGTTAAAACATTTTTTAGGATTTCACAGGTTAGTAGTAATTACTTAGATTTATTGTATTTGTTGGAAATTACGCAAGTGCCATCTTGTATCATTATGATCTGTGTAAGGAGACAATTTTTAGAATATTTTTGCAAAAATATTTACATCAAATTAAACAAATAAGTAGTCTATGGCATTTAAAAGTGGTTACCTACAACTCTGAAATGATAATACTAATTCTTATTGATGATGATATTGAATTTGAAATCATGGTGTAACACTGAACCCGACATCATAAAATGATTACCCTTGTAATGTCAGGGAGTTACAGCCAAGGAGGCAAAATATTACTATCTCACCCCTTGTATCCAATTACATAACAGCAGTGTTTGGTAAAGGTGTTGAATTAATTTTTTTTTATTCTTAAATATCCCCAAGTCACCATAACAATCATTTGAAATTAGAGATATATATATAAGATAACCTTTATTAGTCCCACACGTGGGAAATTTGTTTTGTCACAGCAGGAAGTGGACAGTGCAAAAGTTATGAGGCAAAAATTAGAATACAATAAGAATAAATACAGTACACAACTGTACAGAATAGAATAAAATACTATATACAGTAGAATAAAATAAAATAAATATACAATAAGATAAAAATAGAATACAAATACTATATACAACTGAGTAAAAATACGATGACAGAAAGGATTATTGCACTTGGTATTATTGCATATGTATGGATGTGTGTGCTTGATCAGTTAAAGTCTTTATTATGGAGTCTGACAGCAGTGGGGAGGAAAGACCTGCGAAATCTCTCCGTCCCACACCGTGGGTGCCGCAGTCTCCCACTGAAGGAGCTGCTCAGTGCTGTCACAGTCTGCTGCATGGGGTGGGAGATGTTGTCCAACAGGGATGACAGCTTAGCCGCCGTTCTCCTGTCACTCACCACCTCCACTGGGTCCAGAGGGCATCCTAGAACAGAGCTGGCCTGTTGAGGCAAGTTAGAATCATCTTAAACAACTTTTAATGAAATATCCAAATGTAGTCTTACAAAAGGTATGTAAGAAAATACCTAACCCATAATAAAATGCATCACTTATTACCTGAGAGGAAAACCAAACTTCTCGATTGATTTTTGGAAGAATGCCAGTGTTGTTGATGCCAGATTGTTGGAAGCAGCACTGAGATACATAATCTTTATAGGAAAAAGAACAATGGGAAACTTCCATGTAAATATTACATTTGATTTACTTACTAAACTAAACTTACCTTACGAGAAAAGCCATCAATACCTCCAAAGATCACAATGTTATAGCTGAATGGGGAAAACAAAATGTTTTTTTTTATCAGTTTTTGAATTATCACTTTGAAGTGTTTAAATGTAAGCAATGCAAGATGTAATTTATGTATGTCCAGATGCAAATATAGTAACGAGTAAGATAACAAAATACAGTTCTGAACATTTGCAGATGAAAAAATTCTCAGGAATCAGAATCAGAATACTTTATTGATCCCTGGGGGAAATTATTTTTTGTTACAGTGCTCCATTTTAAACCAACATTAAGACAAGACAGACAATACACTAACTAAGAATAGTACAATATATACATATATATACATACATACATACATAAGTCACTTATAAATAAATATTTGGAAAAGAAACATGTGTAGTTGTAGCAGCAAACAGTGTGTTAAGTGGATGCGTTGTACAGGGAGATGGCCACAGGCAGGAATGATTTCCTGTGTCGTTCAGTGGTGCTTTTCGGTAATCTCAGTCTCTCACTGAACGAGCTCCTGTGACTGACCAACATGTCATGGAGTGGGTGGGAGGTGTTATCCAACATTGTCTTTATCTTGGACAGCATCCGCCTCTCCGACACCACCTTGAGGGAGTCCAGCTCCATCCCCACAACATTGCTGGCCTTACGGATCAGTTTATTAAGTCTGTTGGCATCTGCGACCCTCAGCCTGCTCCCCCAGCATGCAACAGCATAGAGGATCGCACTGGCCACCACAGACTCATAGAAAATCCTCAGCATTTTCTGGCAGATGTTGAAGGACCTCAGTCGCCTCAAAAAATAGAGACGACTCTGGCCCTTCCTGTAAAGTGCTGTGGTGTTTTTAGCCCAGTCCAGTTTATTGTCAATGTGTACTCCAAGGTATTTATAGTCCTCCACAATGTCAACACTGACCCCCTGGATTGAAACAGGGGTCAAGTGTTTCCTGGTCTTCCTGAAGTCCACGATCAGTTCCTTGGTCTTTGCCACGTTGAGCTGCAGATGATTCTGCTCACACCACGTGACAAAGGAGTCGACCACAGCCCGGTACTCTGTCTCATCATCCCTGCTGATGCATCCAACCACCGCAGAGTCATCAGAAAACTTCTGAAGATGGCAGGTCTCTGTGCAGTGGCTGAAGTCTGTGGTGTAGAGGGTGAAGAGGAAGGGGGAGAGGACAGTCCCCTGTGGTGCCCCTGTGTTCACCTTGTCAGACACACACTGTGGGAGACGTACATATTGTGGTCTTCCTGTCAGGTAATCAACAATCCAGGACACCAGAGAATATCTTTCACTTCAAAAGATCAAATAATTTACCGTATCAGTTTGTGATTTGTGTCAATATGCATTAGAGACTGTGGTCCTGGGACGGAATAAGTACGTCGAGCAATGCATCCCAAGGAAAACATCCTTGACACAACACCAGCTGTGTCAACACGGTGCATAGAACTTCTAACCCTTTGGTACTGGACTCTGTGTCCTCTGGCCTGAAGAAGTGCTTTCACCATCCGGTATCCAGCGTGAGGCTGCCTGGATTTTATGTCT